CATTAAATAAATTGCAGATGCGGCAATAACTTCTACCTCGTCCATATCGTTCCAATTCTCAATTACAACTAATTACGGCCAACATGTAGATAGCTCCACAAAAACTCGTGAACATTGGCCTTGGAATTGGTCTCTTCGAACTTGACCAACGTGTAGCACTCACCTTGTATCAATTTGCCTACGCTCGCGTTGGCTGAGGTTTGGCCAACGTTTATTGTCGGCCTTACATGTGTCATGTGTATGAAGAAATGAAGAGTTCATATATTTTCTGTCTATATTTCTCGTATTTGTCGTATATATCGTAATACCACAGTATAATAAAAATATAGAGTCTATATTTTTATTATACTGTGGTATTACGATGTGTACCCGCTTAAGAATATTACAAACAACTCACCTGCATTACAAATATTGCAATTCCTAATTAATATTTTAATAGTTTGTATTATTTATGATTATGTGTATATTGAACTCAGTTGAAATAACTTGTTCTGTGGGTTAAATTTACGACTTTTAACATAAAACAGAGTGAAATGTTTAGAATTTTAAGCTATTGCATAGCTTCTATCGCGGGCCTTAAGGTGGCCCTAGTCGATAGCATGAACTAAGTGGTGGGCGGGGTTAAAATGCATGCTATCTCAGCCGATATCACGTGCGAAAGCGAAAGGCATGATGATTTACAACACAAAGAGGCGCGCAAAATTTTATAAACAGACCTTTGGGAGTCTGGTTATCACGAAAAATCTATTGAATGTATCTGTTCTAAATAAAATTATTTGCATTTTTGAACACCTAATCTATCCCTGTATGGTAACTGTTTTACAATTTTCATTCTTCTTATGGTATTTATTTCCGCCCAACGATGTGTTAAAATTAGTACTTTTAAATATATTCTTTTTTTATTTTTTTGTTTCCATACAGGGCTAGATAATGATGAAACAAATTGAAATCATTTTTTATTTTGATCGTACACCATCAAACAGTGGAGTAATCGCCAGACTATGTTTGTATGGAAAAACGAGTGACTAGTGTACCCTTAAGCGCGGGGACCGAATCCAGAAATTCCGTAACGAAAAAAAACCTCACGCTCCCCACTCCGACGGGCACGGAGGTGTGGCGTTGAAAGCCGTGCATCGTCTAACGTCGTTTTAGTTCGGCAGACTTCGGCACTCGGCAGACTTCGGCACGGTATTTGTGTGCGTGTACACTAGCTGCTAACTCAATGATAAAAATTCCTGAATAACCTACATGTATTGTAAGATATTAAAAACGTTTTAAACAATATTAACTTCTCATTTATTCAATAAGAGAAAAAAAATTGTTTTCTTATCGGTCACCACGCTCAAAAAGTGTAACTTGATTTAATATCAAAGACTTAACTGCATAAATAAAATAAATAAATAATTATAATTGCACAAGTTGATAAAAAATGCTATGCAATAGCTTTACCGCGGCAGTCACCGAGTGCCACACGTATTTTTTTAGTACCTACATAATGTCTGTACAAACGTATCTAACTCAAAGGGTCCAGCGAGAATAACGAAACCGCTGGTCAATCACAGGTCCATTGCTAAATGTTAAAGCAAGATCCCGTATTTCTTTAATTAAATATTATTTTTTATTATAATGTTTATTGTAATGATTTTAATTTACGATTTTTGTGTAAGATCTGAAAGCTTCATTTTATTTTCTTTGACTTGCTGAAGAATTATTACAGTAACACAAGAATTGGATGAGGGCCAAAAAGTCGCAAATAACCTACAAATAATTTGAATGTGGCAAAATAACTTTTAAAAATTAATAGACCACTGTCTTTTGCATTTTATCGACATTGGTTAATTTCACAAGTTTCACATGAGTGAATGTCCTATTAAATCCAACAGGCGCAAAATAAGCGCGATTTCATGTCTAAAATTATTTTGGATTTATAATCATCACCACAGCTCACAAAAAGAGTGAGAGAGAGAGAGAGCGAGATGGTAACTCAGAGTTACTTGCTGGTCAAGTGTTCGCCGTAAATTTAAATTAACCGAGGTTGCACGCATATATTACGCGTAGGTTTTGACCGAGAAGAGGCAGTGTAAGAATATCCACTATCTATAATATCATCCTGTGGGTGTCGTAAAGTTCTCGAGTGGCAGCTTCGTACCGGTAGGCAAAGTGTAGGGTGACCTCCCACGATGGAGTGACGGTGTTTTAAGACGTGTAGGGCGCGATGGATGCCGGTGGCTGGGAACCGTGCTTTGTGGCAATGCTTGGGGGAGGCCTATGTTTAGCAGTGGCCTTGTGAAAAGCTGTGATGATGATGATGATGATGATGAAGATGGGTGTCATAACAGGCAGCAGAGGGTAACAGAGATGGGCAACAGCGTATTCCTAATAAAAAACGCTTGCCAAGCGTTACAATTATGTCAAATATGCCCCCTATAAGGCAATATATGGGGGAAGCCTATGTTCAGCAGTGTACTTGATTAGACTGTAACGGTAATGTAGGTCCGATACCAATCGTTACTGATAAAAAAATTTATTACAATTTTAACGCGTGCTTTGCGATGAAGGAGACACCGTGAGAGAATTTTCATGTCTAAAAAATATCTGAAATCATCCAACACGTACTGGAGCAGCAACTCCTGGCAGAGGAACTTATACAGGCTGTAACTTGTACTTTGAGTCGTTACACTCCGTCGCTTGGATCACAGCAACATCTATAATATCTAATACTGTATCGCGTTTAATATTATTCAAAATGGCATGAAGGCGACAAACATAGCGCTTCAAGGTCTACACGACACATGTTTACTATACGCCGACGTACTGACCCGCTGATGATGACGGTTCGTCGTTATCTATAGCTCGAAGATAAACAACGCACTGAGAGTAAACCTATTCAAAATAATTATTTGTTTTTTATCCTGTTTACGAATACACAGTTAATTAATGATTTATTCTGACAATAATTGAATTTTTATAATAACTAATTATATAATATTGTTTATTCATAATCTAAGTTATTGGTTATTATTAAAGTATGAACTCCTATTGAGGTATAAATAAATGTTAATGTATAGCGTATATATCTTTTTAATATTTTTTATATTACAACGAACAGAGAGATTTGGGTAGATTTGTATGGAGTAGGTAGGTACAGGTTATATTGTAATACGTTCTGTTACTTTTGAGTTTGAATCGATAAGTTGGCTACGTAATAAATAAATAAATATTTTTCAGTTGAACTACAAATACTAAAAATAATTAAGCTCGGTAGCAAAAGAAGTAGGTTCGGAACTCTTACCTTGGACAGCAGTGTGCTATCTGTAGTATTTAAGTATTAACGATGTAAAGCCAGTATAATACAGGTGTACTACAGGAGTTTCTAATTGTCGACTAGCCTTTTGACAGTTTGTTTGTGGAATATATATTTCAAGATCAAGTATAATCAATTGACTGCCAACGAATATATCCACAAACCTTTTAAAAAGGAGAGAAGGCCTTGTGCCAAGCAATGGGACGTATATATGTAGGATATAAGTTAATTTTTTCAAAATATTTGTAGCTAGTTTTAAAGCTTAGAAGGTAGACAATTGATACGAGTAGCAGTAGGTACCAGACTTCTCGATACTCATTGGAGCTGGTTTTTCGGCTGAACCGATTCTTCGATTCTTGTTTTACAATGCGGTCATAGTAGTCATCTATGGAGGAGAAATATATGTACGAGTATATTCCTATGTAAACTCCCGGAATAAGAAAAGACAGCAGAGTTTTTTCTATAAGACCATTTGTATTTTTTTAGTAATAGGTTGGGGGAAAAGTTTCTTCGTTTTGTATAAAATTGAAGAAAAATCTCTTTGGTTGTACTGTTTGTAACTGGCCGGTTTTAATATCAATACGTATAGGACATTAAGAAAAAGAAAAATCAAGAGTAATACAAACCTTTCTCGCCATTTTTTCAATTATTTTTCTGTCCGCCAAAATGAGTGAATCTAATGAATAAATTCAATACATTCTGTAGGTGTATTACAAAAAGGGAAAAATGCCAAATGCAAGTCAGAATTTTTTTGTACATTTATGGACCTAATGCAGTGTCAGTAAGAGTAGCAATGTAATTACAAACAGGTAGGTCGCACTGGTCGCCCGTATTTGGATAAAGTCGATGCCATTTTTGAAAAAGTGGATCAAGATCGGTATATTAGTAGTTACGAAATAGCCGAGAAATTGAGAATTGACCACAAAGCAGTTTTGACCCATTTAAAAAGATTGGCTATACAAAAAGTTCGATATTTGGGTATCACACGAGTTCACTGAAAGAAACCTAATGAATCGTTTACTCATTTGCGATTTTCTACTGAACGTAATGAAACCGAATCATTTTTGAAACGAATGATCACTGGTGATGAAAAGTGGATCACCTACGACAGGAACTTGTGAAAAAGATCATGGTTAAAGGGTAATCAAGCTCCACAGATTGTAGCGTAACCCGTATTAACACACAGTAAGGTGATGCTGTGTGTATGGTGGGACTGGTAGGGCATCGTTTATTAAGAGTTTTACCGCCAGGTAAAACCATCGATTCGAATGAGTGATGTTAAAGCAAAATAAGTTTAAAGTGACTTAAAAATAAGTAAATTAAACGCGATAAATTCACTCAACGAATTTGATATTATTTTAAGTTGTGTTAACTTTAAGTATAATATTACTTAGAGCGCCAGCATTGTGCTCTCGACTGCTCAAGGATTTTTAAATAAAAAACAGTGGTACGTTTCATTATATTCAATTCTGCATTATGTTTCAAGACAAAAAATAATCACGATCGACTTACACGGTCGTACTTGCACTTACAAGTTAGTATTGTTCATGGTGAACAATACTTATAAGTGCAAGTACACAGATGTGATGAACGATTATATACATGCATTCTTCATCCATATTTGATTTAACCTTGATTGTAATTTGTTAATGCATATATTATTTCGTAACAAATATTAATTAATAAATTATTGACAATGCCTAAAAGTAACTTTTTAATGATTTTTTCGTAATCCATTTAGACCTAGACGACAACTACGCGAATACTATCGAATAATATCAACAACTGTGCAGTTGACGTGCAATGTGGCGCTGACAGTTCTAGCTTATCTGTGGCATAGCCTATTATGGTTAAGAGACATCTGAGAGGAGATTGTATGCGAAAAATACTTACGTGGTAGAGCCAAACTGCACCTATATTATGGTTAATAGCAAAAATCGCTCGGCTCGACCGGGGTAGGACCACGCTCACAGAATACCAGCGTCAAATAACAGCATAATACTGCTCTGTTTCGTATGGTGAGTGAAGAGAACTAGAGACCCCTTTTACTTGAAATGAGAGATTCCAACTTAGTCCTCAGGGTTGACAACGCATATGCATTTTGATTCTTACTTGAGGATAAATGTAGATGTGTATGGGCCACAGCATGCACTTACCATCAGATGGACTCACTGACCTCTATATATACTTGTATATATAGAAGTCAGTGTATAAACTGTGTGCTCGTTGGTCACCCTTACTATATAAAAAATATCAGAGACAATCGTAGTATACTCTAATCAGAAAAGTAATGATTTCGTGTTATAGCACTAATATTCACTCCGATTGGGATTCAAATTGACGACTGACGTAATTTACAAATTGGAGATTCTATTCAATGACCCATACACGCTCACGGACTTATAACATTTATTAATAAAATATATAAATCATAGCAAATTTATTCATTGTAATTTATGCGATAGAGCGATAAGGAAAATTTATTTTAAATGTTCGTTGGCACAATTTCCAGAGGCATTCAAAGAAAACTCTTCGCTTCGTCGCCGCCTTTTTTGTGTCACATCGAAAACAAAAAGAACGCGGCGTGAAATATAATTAAACTTTTGTGATTTTAATCTATATAGTGCTTTAAATTCTAATCTACATAATATATTACAATACTAATCTAAAAATAATTCTGGGAATTTACTGCTACGGTGCAGTGATATTATGGTTTTAACTCTAATAGGTCGGCTTGACTGGGACTGGTATCACAGTTTAATTAAACTGTGCTGGTATTTTGTAAGAGGATCAAGTTCTCACAGAATAACAACGTAAAATATCAGCTTAATGCTGCCTAATGTTTCGTATGGTGGAAATCGGGGACCCTTTTTACTGAAAACAAGGCATTCTATCTTTATTTTTTTAAACATGGGGAAATGCCTACGCATACCAGCCTCGCGGTCTATGGTCAATGGCTTCACCGTCAACCAAGATTCGGCTGCGGAGGGTAGGGTGAGCCGCGCCTCCCAATACAGACACTCCTTCCCCCGGCAGCCCCATCACGACCACATCAATTAACGGTACAGCCATCAGAGTCGCAGGGGATAGGGTGAGTAGCGCATCGGCATACCAACCCTTCTCTCCCTCAGCGACTTCACCTCGATTGCAGCAGTAGGGAGATATGGCACCCCTCTCGACACTGGCCACCGAGACACATCCGAAGTGAGCTTGCCAAACCCACTTGAAATGGCCTTCTCAGGCCAGCCATGTGGGTTCTTCTTAGTTCACCGCGGGTGAACAAGCCATGGCTACTGAGCCCCCCCACTGACAAGACGGGAACCCGTTCGGGATGGAGGCATTTCATCTTAGTCCTTAGAGGTGACAACGCATCTAGATTTTGATTTTCAATTGATGATAAATGTCTGTATGTGTGCTGGTGGTCTACGGTGCGGGTGGCCTTAGTGCTCGTTTGTTACTCATAGGGACACAGTCGAGCGTGTGCCCGCTGTACTCCAATATGTCAGAGGTTTTTTATACAAAGTGGGCCACATCTTGAAGCGAGCTTCCATTCAAACATATTACAAGCCGCCGAAGAAAATTAGTAAATTTTTACCATCCATCAAGTGTAATATTCCTCTACAAGATGCGGGAGTACAAGCAAGATTGTGAATGTGGTCTCTCTAACATAGGGCAAACAAAAATATCCATAAAAACCCGCGGAAAAAGAACATACAGCTAACGAGAAACACCGATACTCCGGGAAATCTGCAGTCTGTGAACATGATCAAGATCGTACCCACCATTACATCAGATTTGATAAACCACAAATCCTCGCAAAAGAATACCGATTCCTTCCAAGGATCATCCTTTCACGCGAGATATTGAAATAAAAAAACATCCGAATTACAATAGAGAATACGGATGGGTGCTGTGATCGGCTTGGGATTCTATAATTAACAAAATTAAATCCAAACCCAAGCATATCACTGCAAGATTTCAAGATACTGTAAGCTCGTTCTGCGTAGATCGGACTGAAGGTAGCCGGGCTAACTACGACAATGGGTCATCAAACATCTCAGTCCCCCCCCTACCTCCCCAAGATCATCGATGCTGTAAAGCACCCTAAACGTCGGAAATTAAAACTAAGTTTATTAAACGCGACAAAATCCGTATAAATAGTTTTATTCAATATGTAGTGTTCGCTTAACTATAATCATGATGAATGAAATGATGATCATGAGATTCAGCCCGCTGACAGACAGGCGCACGGATGGAGAGACAGTGGAGGCGTAGTAATTGGGCCCCGTATGCCCTTGGGACGGAACCCTAAAAATATTTCGTTATAACAATCCACAAAACGTTGACATGGGTAAGAGCTTTTTTACTAGGTAGTAAGACGACTTTTCTGCAGGTCGTCTGGGTGGATACCACCTGTTTTATCTATTTCGCTAAATAACTGTACATTCACTACAGTGTTCCGGCCTGAAGGTTATAGAGAGCCAGTATAATAAAAGACTGAGAGGCAACCCAAGCAAGTCTTTAGAGGTGACATCCTATCTGTAGTCTTCATTATTCGAAGTTAGCTGCAGGTGCAGGTTAGCTGTGAGCTGTGAGTTCATTTTTTTATAAGATAGGGTGACAAAAGAGTACACAGTCCACCTGATGGTAAGGAATGGCTGTGACCCATGGACATCTACATGTATCCTCGATTACGAATCAAAATGCTGAAGCGTTGTCACCCGTGAGGATTAAGATGGAATGCCCCGTTTCCAGCAAAAAGGGTCTCCGGTTCTCTACAAACGAATCACAGCAGTATTAAGCAATGATTTCTTATATTTACGCGAACACTACACATTGAAATAATACCAGTTTTTAGGGATTTTATCGCGTATATTTAACTATAAATACCCGACGTTTCGAGTGCTTTACAGCACCCATGGTCTCGGGGGGGGGGGGGGACTAAGATGTTCAACGTCCAATGTCATAGTTAACAGCGGTTACCATAGATAAAAATTTTACTTTTGTTTATAAAGCATTAAGCAACTTTTTTACGCTGGTATTATGTGAGAGAGTGATCCTTCCCCGGTAGAGCCGACCCACTCGTGCTACAACTATACTACTACTATAACTGCAGCATGACTCTACCACGTATAAAAGCGTTATTAAATTTGTCATCTTAATGTTTTAAAAAATATGAACTTATAAGGCGGAAAATTCCTGTTATAGCATTTGTAGGAATAGCAATTAACTTTATGGGCAAAATTACAATGAGCAATAATCGATGGCAGAAATCACTGAGGTGTGAGGTATGTCTTACAAAGATACTAACAGCGCTACATTATCAACTATAATTCGTGGTATTATTTTTTAATAAAGAACTGTAACTTTTCTTTAAAATATTGTTACGAGGATTACACCAAAAGTTCTTAGAAAATAAAAAAAAACTGAACAAAATAGCAAATTATTAGTTTTATTATATGTTTTCAAAATAGTGTCCGTTTACATCAATACATCGCTCCGATGGAATATGATGGAGCTACTGATAAAAGCACTTTGCCCACTCGTCCTTAGGGGTCTCTTCGACGGCATTTAGAAACGTAGCCACTTCTTCCTCAGTGTCCATAAAACGTTTGCCTTGAAGTTTTTCTTAACTTTAAATAAATAAAAATCGCTAAGTGCGAGGTCGGGGCTATAGGGCGGGTGACCCTTGAATTCCACGTCTGACGTCGCCAAGTAGTCAATTGTTTGCTTGCCGGTGTGCGATGAGGCGTTGTCGTGGTGAAGGAGGATGCTACTGCGAGATCGTTTATCCCGAACTTTCTCCAAGACAAGTGGCAAACAATTGTTAGTGTACCACTCTAACTCTAACTGTTTTCCGATCCTCTAAAATAATTGTTGCGTAATGATCCGTCCTTCCGACGAACGAGGCTATCATCCACACAGAGAGCAGACTGTCTCATAGTTTCAGGATCATAAATAAGTCTATGTATGATCGTAAGTATGTCGAGCACCGCATTTGAGTTACCTCCGTTAAACCTTTGAATCATTTCATGACACCCATCAACATGACGGAGTTTTAGGCCTCTATCAAATTATGAGATATCCACCGGGCACAAAGCTTCCTGACTGCTAAATGTTTATGTAGGATTTTGTGCACTTGACTCATACCAAAGTCTAAGTTTGTCCGAATCTGCTTATAATTTACCCTTTTGTCAGTCTCTATCATACGCCACACAACACTGATATGTTGTCTTCATTCGTCGCTGTAGAAGGCCGTCCCTCACGCAGATCATCGGTGGGATTAGTGCGACCACGTTTAAACTCATTAAACCCGTTGTAAACAGTGGCACGAGATGGTGTTTCATTGTGAAAGGCCAATCGAAGTCTATCATAACTTTCTTGCTGACTTAAATGAAGATAAATTCTTGCTGACGCGACACAGACAATTTTCAATTTGCCGCCATAAACAAATTACAAATTAATAAAATATATACACAATAATATTGGCAAAGTGTTCTATCTTCAAAATTTGAAGTATTTTTGTTATTATATCGTTTACAAGTAGCCAGTCCTAAAAACTTTCTGTGTCACCCTCGTAAAGTCAAAATTACAGCTCACATTCGTTCCACGGTTGAGCGCAGGTCTCTCCTCATTTCTGAGAGGGTTTTAGAAAAAGTCAATGTCTGGGGAACTTTACATGTCTTCGAAATTTTTTATTTATAATATTGTATATTTACTTAAATGATGCTTCTTATAACAAAATGTGTAATTTTATGTAATAAAACTAAGGCGTGACTTCAACAAACCTGGGTCAACTCAACTAAAGTCAAAATTCTATAAACTTTACAACTTTAATCGTTGCGACTGTAACAGAACTGCTAAAACTTGAACCATTAACAAAACTTTCAAGTCATATTGGGTTCAAAGACAGATTAAATAATACTGGTCGGAGAAACTACCCTAACAAAATTCAATGTTTAAAGGTTAGTTTAGCTAGGTGACACTTGAAGATATTTTCAAATACGTATAACATTGTCACAAAATTTTACTAAAGTTGATATTAAAATTTACATGAATAATATTAAATTATTATAACTCTGAATGAATAATATCTGTCAACTTTGTAAATGTTTTTTTTTTCATAGATTAACACCAGCCACCGGCGCGGCGGTAGGTCGTTGCTCTATGTTTTTTTTTTTTAATATTATAGCGACAAACTTTAAAGCTTCTTCTAATAGTAAGATGAGACTGCAGCCCTTTAACATCTAACACTTTTCAACATAAGAAAGTTATGTCCGATGTTTGTTCGATGATGAGATGAAGCCTGAATTGCAATGTCTTCCGGTCTGTAATTATACTCCCTCGCGAATCCTTCAAACAGTAGCAGTTGATACCAAACTAGGGATAATTTTAAGCAGAAAAGATGACCTACTATGGTAAGTTAGAAGCATACCATTTAGTAATATGTGTCGTTCAACACGCAACATATCTCTAATTACAGTACGAGTACTTTGACAAAATGTTCGAGGACTTTTTTTGGCAACTGCGGTTAAGCGGCCCACATGTTTTTACTTCATTTCGAAGCTTTTTCGTCCTTTTTTGATATCAATAAACCAATTAAAATCTGCTTGTGAACAAAGTGTTCCCGTGTAGTGGCGGTTGAGAATATCCACTATCCCAAATCTTCCCGTGGGTGTCGTAAGAGACGACAGAGGAGACAGGCAGGAGATGGGCAGCAGCATCTTCTTGATAAAAGCAATGATATAATAAAAAACTGCGGTTGCCAACCCACTCGTCAACTATGGCAAATATCTCCCCATGAGTAACGACGCAAATAAACGGCCTCCAGGCTCCGGCGGCCCCGCTATTCCTGGCTACGGTGGCGACCACGGTAACGGCGGGGCAGGGGGTGCTAAGAATCTCCGGTGGAGGTTCGGTTGCCACCTATGACGACTCAACCTGGCAACATATAACGCACGCAACCTGAGGACTGACGAGAATATACTGGAGTTGGAAGAAGATGTAGACAAGTTGCGCTGGCATATTATTGGGTTATCCGAGGTCCGAGTCCGAGAGGGTAATCACGGTAATCCCACGGTAATCCTCGAGTCCGGCAACTTGTTCTATTACCGGGAGGGTGACCATCTGTCCCAAGGAGGTGTCGGATTTATCGTCCACAAGTCCCTCGTCAACAACGTTGTAAAGATTGGGAGTGTGTCGACGAGGGTCACGTACCTAATACTCAGAATCACCAAACATTTCAAAAGCCACGCATTCCTCCAAAACCCACTACACGGTGTTGATGGGAGACTTCAACGCAAAACTAGGCACAAGAGAAAGCGGTGAGCTGAAGTTAGGGAAATTTGGAGTGGGGCAACGGAACCGTAGGGGCCAGCGGCTGGCCGACTTTATGGAGAAAGAGGGACTCTTTATGATGAACTCTTTCTTCCAGAAGCAGACCCATAGGAAGTGGACCTGGTCGAGTCCCGACGGTTCGACAAAAAATGAGATTGACTTCATTATGACGACCAGACGCCAACTGTTCAGTGATGTCTCAGTGATCGCAAAGGGTGAAAACTGGCAGCGATCACCGAATGGTTAGAGGCACACTGAACCTAAACGTTAAGTTGGAGAGGTCTCGTCTAATGAAGTCAACGCTCCGTCCCCCTCGTGCTCTAATCCAGAATCCCGAAACCTTTCAGCTTGAGTTACGTAACCGCTTTCAGTGCCTAGAAGATTGCAATGAAGTGGACGATATGAATGACAAGCTCGTGGAAACTGTCCATGCGGTCGGAGCTAAGTTCTGCAAGACCCGCCGCAGAAGAACCCAAAAACTCTCCGATCACACTCTTAATCTCATGGCTGTTAGACGGGAGATGAGGCTGCAATCGTCAACAGATTTGACAGCATACAGGCAACTGAACAGACAGATCTTCAAATGCATGCGGCGAGACTTACGCAACTTTAATACTGCTCGTACTAGGCTGCACTAAAAGTATCGGGAATGGAATATTTCCACTGTTCCTGTGATATTAAAATCTTTTTAATTGAAAACTTCTTGGTTTTAAAAATCGAATACCATTTATTTATTTAAAAAAAGATTCTCGGTCTTGTCACAAGGTTTTGTCAAACTTGTTTAGTCATTGAAAAAATGGAATTGACTGGAGAAATTTCAAGAGCGATGATTTATTATGACTTTCGAAGTGGTTTAACACAAAAACAGTGTATTGACCGGATGATTTCTGCATTTGGTGATGGAGCCCCATCCAAAACCACAATTTATCGCTGCTTTGCTGAATTTCAACGTGGATGTGGCAAGTTCAGTGATGATCCCGTCAAGGTCGTCCAAAAACTGCAGTCACCCAAAAAACGTTGATACTGTGCGTAAGCTGATTGAGGAAGATCGACATGTGACATACCGCAAAATTCAGGCAACTTCAGACATTAGCCTGAGTTAAATACAAATAATCTTGCATGAAGAATTAGGTGTAAAAAAAGTTGTTTTCTCGGTGGATACCGCATTCGCTCTGTGAAGAGCAAAAAGCGGCTCGCGTTACTTGGTGCGTCAGAACTCTCGAAAGATTCCACGCAGGATCCTCAAATGCTGTATACAACATCGTATCAGGTGACAAATCCTGGATATACGCGTACGATCCCGAAACAAAAGACCAGTCACGAGTTAGGGTGTTCGAAAATGAGTTAAAGCCAACAAAAATTGTTCGTTCACGGAGTGTTGCAAAAAAATGGTGGCCACGTTTGTCTCCAAACCGGCCATGTTACGACTATTCCTCTTGAAGGACAAAGAACGGTTATTGCAAAATGGTATGCTAGCATTTATTTGCCACAGGTCGTTTCTGAACTCCGTAAAGAGAACTGCAACCGCCGCATCATCCTCCATCACGACAATGCGAGTTCTCACACCGCACACAGAACAAAAGAGTTTTTAGAGCAAGAAAACATAGCCCTTTCGGTTTCGGTTAAAATTAAACAATCGCCGTGACCGAACGGGGACAGCGTCGCACGATCGTGCGTGTGGTTCGGTTTACTATGACAAAGAGCAGTGGGATTAATTATAATAATTTTGACTCAGGCGCCGTTCGCCACCTAGCAAAAATCACGTGTTACGCGCCAAAATGAAACATACCTGTTTGTGACGTAAAAGTAAGTAAAAACTATATTGTTATTGCAATCATTCGTTTGAAAAAAAAGCCAAATTCTCGATAAATTATGTTTTTACTCGTCCTTTCGCGTATTTAGTTTGTCTTTTTCGAGGTTACTTTTAGATGTCACAATCGTGAGGGTTCGGGCCCAACGTTGGTCAGGTTAGTGATTATTTAATACCAATTATTTTATGTTAAAACCCTCTTTTTTACTTTTTAGTCTATTTGATACATTGTTATGGATAGAAATAGCTTGGCTTTTGACTCTGGTGCTATAATGGATCAACTGGCTGACTGGGATTTGGGCGAGGACTTCGACGATGATAATGATTGGCATCCACCTGGTGAGCTACCTAGTTCTAGCTCGGATGACGAAGACGAGCAAGAAGCAAGAGATTCAACAGTAGCAAGTCCATAATTGTCGAATAAATAGATTCGCAGACGATTCTTCGGGAAACCCATGCCTACACTGATCTCGGAGTCGACGGAAGAGGTACTTACTCCAAGTGAATACTTTGATAGGTACTTTACTGAAGAAATTTACGAGTTATTAGTATTAACTACTTCAACTGCCATGGGAGCCCAGCCATTGCATAAGGTCCAACGTTACGATATATTATTACAAAATCATACATCGAAGTAACTTGCCCTGATATGATAAACAATACAACGAACACATGGGAGGCCTAAACGTCAGCGACCAAATGATGGAGGTCTACAGACCATGGCATAAAACTCGCAAATGGCCAATCAAGTTAATAATGCATTTGTTTGACTTGGCCATGGTGAACTCTTGGTATGAGTATCGCCAATCATGTGATAGAAATAAAGTTTAGAACTCTAATATCATGGATTTTCAGAACTTTAAAATATGTGCCTGATTGGTGGTTGGCGGTTCAACCAGAAAACCCACCCGAGAAGAATTCGAAAAAATGACAGAGATGCCTTCAACATCCCATTATCAACCCGCACCTATTCCAACTATAGATAAACGTCTCGATGGGTATAACTATTGACCCGTACGTGATTCTCTAAAAGCTTCTCTCTGTTGCCGAGTGACAGGTTGTACAAGCCGTTCAAAAGTAAGGTGCACAAAATGCAATGTATATCTTTGTAGTTCTAAAGATAAGCATTGTTTCTATGTTTTCCATAATGAAAAAATTTGTTTTTAAATATTTTTCTCATGTCTATTCCTTCTAGTAATTATAAACTGAAGATCTCGATTGTTTGCCTTGTTCCTAGTTCTTAATTTTTTATTATATCTAATTACGCCAAAAATATAGGTTAAAAGAAGCGTTATATTTTTGTTACTTATTAACAATAAGAAATTAAGTTAATTTTGATTATAAAATAAATAATTATTCCTAATTTTCAATTTTATTTGAATATTGTTATTACCCTCACGATTGTGAGGGTAGCTCTAGTTGGGCCCGACGTAGTACGATCGTGAGTATCGTGGAAAACAGTTTTCCCATTTTCCTAGATTTTTTAAGACCCCATCTTTTTAATGTACGCATGTTACTTGCCCTAAATCAGTTCTGTAATATTCGTTAGGTAGCGCCGTCACACGACGGGTCTGAAAGGGATAGAATTATTAGACCATCCGCCGTAGAGCCCCAACCTAAGCCCTAATGATTTCTATACTTTCCCTAAAATAAATAATAAATTGCGTGGACAGAGATTTTCATCACCTGTATAAGCTGTGGACGCCTACAAAACGGCCATTTTGGAGACCCCAAATTCCGAATGGCATGGTTGCTTCAATGATTGGTTCCATCGTATGGAAAAATGTGTCAAATTTCGCGGAGAATACTTCGAAAAGCAATAAATACATTTTTAAATAGTAATGTTGTGTCACTTCCTTGATTCCCGAAATTTTCAGTGCCGCCCTCGTATTGAAGAAGCGATTGAGCGGAACCAGGGCTCCAAAGTCTTTTTCAGAGATCTGTCTGCCAGTAAGAGCCAACTGTGAAAGCTGAAGACAGTGTGGCAGCATCGTTTCCAGGACACCTGAGATTCTGAGTGAGATTGAGAGGTTCTATGGGCAGCTGTACACATCATCGTTGGAGCCACACTCAAGTGTGAGTAACGATCGAAGAGCAAGTCTTATCCGACACTATTCCGATGATATCCCGGACGTCAGTCTGAGCGAGATTAGGATGGCTCTCCAGCACCTTTAAAACGGCAAGTCCCCGGGCGAGGATGGAATTACAGCGGAGCTTCTGAAAGCGAGTGAAAACCGTTACTTGAAGCCCTTCATAGGTACTTTAATTCCGTCCTTCTTGGTGGCACTACTCCGGAGGCGTGGAGCAGAAGCGCGGTGGTCTTGTTCTTTAAGAAAGGCGACAACGCTCTCTTGAAAAACTACAGACCGATTTCCCTTCTGAGCCGCGTCTATGTGCTGTTCTCGAGTCATTACGAATCGTCTCGCACGCAGACTTTTTTTTTGACTTCCAGCCTCCCGAACAAGCCGGTTTCCGAAAAGGCTTTAGTACCATAGACCACATACATACCCTTCGGCAAATTTTACAGAAGTCCGAAGAGTACAATCTGCCACTTTGCCTGGCGTATGTGGACTATGAGAAAACCTTTGATTCCGTTGAAATTTGGGCGGTGCTACAGTCTCTTCAGCGATGCCAAGTTAACTGTCGGTATATCGAAGTGCTGAAGTGTTTGTACAGTAGGGCTACTATGGCTATCCGAGTACAGAACCAGAGTACGAAACCTATCCAACTGCAGAGAGGTGTAAGACAGACTGATGTTATTTCCCTGAAACTCTTCACCGCTGCATTGGAAGACGTTTTCAAGCTACTGGACTGGAAAGAATACGGTATTTACATCGATGGCGAGTACAACACTCACCTTCGATTTGCCGACGATATATTCCTTATGGCGGAATCGCTGGAGGACTTAAGCAATATGCTCAATGACCTCAATAGTGCTTCCCAACGGATAGGTCTTAAGATGAACATGGACAAAACAAAGATCATGTTTAATGTCCATGTCACACCTATGCCGGTAATTGTTGGGAGCACTAAGCTCTAAGTAGTTGACGAGTACGTTTACCTGGGACATATAGTCCGACTAGGTAAGTCCAACTTCGACCGAGAGGTCAATCGATGGATTCAACTCGGCTGGGCAGCGTTCGGGAAATTACGACACATCTTCTCGTCAGGTATACTTCAATCTCTGAAAACTAAAGTGTGTAAGTGCATGTTGTGCGTGTTGCCAGTGATGACTTACGCATCTGAGACGTGGTCTTTCACTGCTGGCCGTATGAGTACGCTCAAGGTCGCTCAGCGAGCTATGGAGAGGGCTATGCTCGGAGTTTCTCCACGTGATAGACTCAGAAATGAGGATATCCGCAGTAGAACCAGAGTGACCGACATATCCCAACGGATTAGTAAGCTGAAGTGGCAAGGGCTGGCCATATAGCTCGAAGAACCGACAACCGTTGGGGAAAAAAGGTTCTCGAGTTGCAGCCTCATACCGGTAGTCGAAGTGTACGACCCCCCACTAGATGGAGTGACGAACTGGTAAGACATGCAGGAAGTCGATGGATGCAGGTGGCTCAGGATCGTGCTTTGAGGCATACCTTGGGGCAGGCCTATGTTCAGCAGTGGACTTGTGAAGGGCTGTAATGATGATGATGATGATGTTAACAAACATAATCATCAAAAGTGGTTATCAAAAGTTCAAACATGCTTTGTGCTTCACATCTATTAAAGTCACAGTAAAACAAAAGTCGAAAATCACGTGAACTGTCTTTCAGTGCTTTGAGCAAATTCCCGCCAGAGAAAAATGCATTTTAAAAATAAAAATATCAGAAATTATTAAATTTATCAGTAACATATCCCATCTTTCCGATAAATTTTGCCACTTTCAAAAAATGCATTAATAGCATTATTTTTTTACATGCCCCTTGTATTTACACATTTCTATTATTTGTATTGTTTTGCGACTTTCGTTAAAATACCTAGTGGCGACGAAGTGAATAGTTTTCTTTCAGTGTCTTTGAAAAATGTGCACAACATATTAAAAATATTTTGATTCATATAATATTATGATATTATTATTATTGAGAGAATCACGTGGTCGATTCTACTATTCAGAAAATAGTCACCATGGTTGAAATCGACTTAGTGCATCAGGAACATCGGAGCAAGGAACATCTTTATATTTGTCTTTTGTGGCGTTCTTTGTGGAAGAGCCTATATTCAACAATGGATGGGTGTTGATGTAATGATGAACAAACAACTTTTTGACAGATGGTGGCACCCGTCAATTTTTCAATCGACTTAAAAAAAAAGGAGGAGGTTATCAATTCGACTGTTTAGTATGTGTGTTAGCTCAGAACTTTTTTTTAGGTGAACTGATTTTGATGTTTCTTTGTTTATTTGAAAGCTGGTCCCATATAAATCTATTAGTAGTTTTTATTATCCTTAATAATGCGTGTTTAATTGACTTCAACTACATTAATAATGTTCTCGTATTATTTGTGTTGAAGCCGGTTGTACAAAATTTATAATTTTATTAGGTGTTCTATTGATAGTAGCGTGTTTTAATTTCAATAGTCTCGCGAATTATTCTCGGTAGGAATTAGTGTCCTTTGTTTATCGAATCTGATATAAACGAGGCGACGTTCTCGAACTTGTGCACGGACTGCAGACTTCCCGAAGCTCTTTGCTCTTTGCTTCACATCAGCTATATGTTCTTTACGTGGGTTTTTAAAGATCTATTGTTTGTAATATGTAAGAGAGATCACAGTAAAAATCAAGTTTGTACACTTCTGCATCTTATAGAGGGATAATACACTTTACGCATGTTAAAAATTGACTTATCTTCTTCGGCGGCTTGTAAGTTGTAGATTTTAATGGAAGCTCGCTTAGCCAATCTTGACTGTGACTCCTATTAGGTATGGTATTACAATAGACACACGTTTGACTGTGGCCAGCTTTACCCGATCACTGTGACGTAGGTGCTGGGCCCGAAGCCTGTTGTCTTCAAATACTTGCTTAATGTGCTCAAGGTCGGCGACCAGCGACCGGACCGGGAGACACAGATCCCTTGTGCTCGCTGTAACTTTAGTATTCTGTGAGATTCACTATTTAAATATCGGTTGGTATAGGTTTTTTTCTTTACTCAGTGTGACTAATAGTTTTAACAAGATTTTGGATTTTAGGATGACTAAAAAGTCTAGGAAAACACTAAAGAATTATTTTCCTCTAACTCCTTTGTAAATTGTATTAGAGTTTATAGAAACAAGGTGATTTAAAAATGCAGATAATTTGTTTAATGGTAGAAGTGTCCGTCCTGTTCAGGATTTTTCCGACTGATGCGATCTGTCTGTAAGTATACCGCAAGGCGGCATTCTTTCTTCTCTCTTGTTTTCGGTGTTTATCAATCTTCTAACTACTC